GGAATTGGTTCCGTTTGTTACATTGTTAAGGTTGTTGTAATATTAGATGAGATTTGATGCGATGCGATGCGATGCGATGAGACGTTGTATTTTATATCTTTCATCCATCCATTTCTATTGTGACGAAACGGCGACCTTGCGTGTGTCAATCATTCTGTTCAAGATATTTTCGGACCCGAAGTTTCTTGCTGGGTATATATGTGAGTATCTCCTGAGGATCATCTGATTCTCGAATCGACTTTCCAATTCGCACTCGGGAAACGAAAAACCAAAACCAAAATGCAAGTACATGCGCTAGGAGATGGATAGATATTTTGAATTTCTCAATTTTGTGACCCGAATTGACTTCATTAAGATGACTACCTAGTATATGCCACGTATGCATGATTATCTTTCTTTCGTTCTTTCTTAATTCCTTCCTATGATACCCATGAAACGTCCTTTATGTTAGCATTCCGACGAAGTTACAAACGCCCTGCATACCTTCCTTTCTCCCTTCATTCAATAATACAAGCCCTCTGAATCACACGATCATCATAGCTGAACAGTCAACCTTATGACCTCTTTTTCCCCTGTTTCGCCGTCATCTTTCTAAAGGCGTCTACACCACCCGCACCAATAGGCCTGGAAGATGGATCCAATCCTCTACTTGGATCGAAGTTACTTCTAGGAGCGATCGAATAACTGGTATTTGAAGTTTCCATTCTAGCTCTGTTGCTAATGACTTTTGGTGCGAGAAGACGTTGACGCTCAATGTCACGAGCCGTGAGTTGTATTCTTTGGGAGGAAGGCATTTGCGAAGATTGAGAGCCGGAAGGACGGATCGCAAGTTGTGCGGCTCTGAAGTGGATGTTAGTAGAAACAACATGTGTTGAATTGAATATACATACTGGAAATCATAATCCTTTGTCGCGACCTTACGCTTCTTATAATCGTCACTTCGCTTCAAAATTGGTCGTGACCATTCTCCCAATAATCTTTCGGCGATTCTCTTGATTTGAATTTCTGGCCTCTTGCTCTTTGTGTAATATAGAACGACCTTACCAATCCCACTGCTTAGAAGTGCTTCCTTCTCAATCGGTAAACGCGCTAGTGCTTGAAAGAGATCACGTTGAATATTGTATGCCGGAAGACTTCCATCATTTAGTGGTTCCAAGAAAAACTTGACGGACTGTAAGAAGTTGGTATCGGGGTCGACGATGGAATGTTGAATGGTGTTTCTGTTGAGAAGAGCGACGACTTCTGGTAACATTTCAAGCTTTCTAGTCGCGGGTAAATTGGCATCTCGAGCAGCATTATCGGCTTGACATGCTTCTTCCATTCGAAGCTTCAAAGCTGCAATTTCATCATCGAAAGCTTCCTCCAGATCCTGCCACAAAGTTAGATTCTATATTTTTCACGACAGAAAACATGTACATACCACTTCATCCTTCTTTCTTCTTCTCTTGTTTGGATTCTTAAGCGCAGCATCCATCGCCTTATCCAAAGCTCTACGTCTCCTCTCATCCGGCGTAAGATTTTCATCATTCTCTGGTTCTGGTGTTGCCTTTCTTCTCTCCTTGGTTCTGTCTCTATCCTTTCCTTCACCCTCAACTCTCTTGGGTTTTCTGATTCTCTTTCCATCAATCTCCATTCCATCAGGATCCTCATCCGAGTCTCTGCGCGGCCTCTTCTTTTTGTCTCGCTTTCCTTCCTTTGGTTTCTTTGCTTCACCTTCCGCACGCTTGCGCTTACTGGCCTTCAACGTCTTCGCAATATCCTCATCGATACCAACCATGGGTCTCTCATCCAAAGCAACTTTACTTGCATCGAAATCATCAAAATTGGCTTCATCGACATCAGAAAGATCTGATTCATTATCGGATCCAGCGCCGCCATCCTCTGCATTATCTAAATCATCCATGTCAAGATCTGGGTTGGCCATGGGAGGCTCTGGTGTATCTCGCTCTTGCGAAATGGGTCTGTTTGGATCTCCAGCATCGTTTCCAGCTTCTGGGAGGGGTGTAGTAGGTCTTGAATTGAGGTCGGAATCCGACATATTTGCAGTTTGTGAAAAAGGACAAAGGAAGCTTGTATTATTATCTATCGAATGTTGAACTGTTTCAAGATATTATCCGCGTGTCAATGGGAAGCCGTTTGCCGATATGGTATCGCTATCGAGTCGTAGTGGTTGTCGTAGAATTGGACAGATGCGAAGAAGTTATATGAATTGTTTCGTCGCAACTCGCGTTGTGCCAAGCTGAAGTTGTATATTAATTGAAGCTTTGTCAAATCCAGCTAGTGGATGTTAATAAGGTTAGTGTTGAATCGGAAAAATCTTGGTTGCCTCAGGAGCGACGATTCTTTGTTTACTTTGGGTTTTCTAAATGCCGTATCATCTCACATCCCCATATCTTGACGTTTGAGCTCCAAATTTTGCTATCAACGAGCAAAGAAATACAATGTGGAGTAATACTTCTAGAAGGACAGGTGAAGGTCCTATGGACTTTGAATGGCAAGAGAAAGGCGGTCCCATGGATCCAAAATCACCCTTTCTACAATTCAAATCTATGCAGCTTGATAACAGTGAGTATCTTCACTCTCGTACCATCGAACAAAAAGTAACATGTGTACTAACAAGGCAATTAGATTCTGCCAAACCAACCAATTATTTTCTAGCACAGAACTCTACACCAGCTGCAGCATTTCGAAATCCAGCATTCACAACACCCCGCAAACCATATAATTCAGATTTATACTCCGAAGCTTTGGGAATCGAATCTTCCCCCGGCGAAACTGCCGACGCAGAGGATACACCTGAGATACCTAAAACCACCAGTAAAACCATGACGGCTTTTTCATCAAATGCTTCTTCGCGCAAACCGCTATTTGGCAAATATGGCACGAATTACAAAGGAACCAGTCCCGGCGCTCGTAATGATTTGCGCAGAATGAAACTAGGAGGTCAACCTATAGCTAAAAAGCGAAAGCGTCAGCATCGGGATGAACGAGAAGATGAAACGATGGGGATAGTGCGACACCACAGAAAAGAATCAGCTTCGGAATCAGAGAGCGAGTCAGGAGACTCAAGACCAAATAGTCGATCGACTGAAGGAAGGCAAGCCGGCAACAAACCAGGCTGGTTCTCCTCCTTTCTATCCGGTATCGAGTCGCGACCCAATCTCCCTAACATTCTCTCCTACTACGCTCAATTAACGCTCAACACTTTCGTCGTCGGACTAATAATGTTCGGGGTTTACACTTTCTGGACTACAATCCGAAGCGACGTTGATCAAGCATCTCAAAAAGCCACCGCGGAAGTTCTACTCGAGATGACCAATTGCGCAAAACAGTACACAGAAAACAGATGTGAACCAAGCATGCGATTACCTGCTCTAGAAACCGTTTGTAACAACTGGGATGCCTGTATGTCTATGGATCCCAATGCCGTCGGAAGAGCTAGAATCAGTGCGAAAACATTCGCCGAGATTTTGGATAGTTTCATCCAACCTATCAGCTACAAAGCCATGGTATGTTCACTCCTCCATCCCCCGTCTCACTTCAATCCACAAACTAATAACACCCTCTAGATCTTCGTCGCCCTAATCTTCACCCTCTCCATCGCCGTCAACAACATGGCCTTTGGAATGTTCCGATCCAAACCCCCCATCTTCCACCCCGAACCTCAACCTCACCCTCAGCAACATCTCCCCCAACACCCCAACTATTTCGGACAACCAAATCCTTGGGGCATCCCCCAAACCCCCCAATCACATTTCGGTCCTTACGAACCCTGGCCCACCGGAGCAGGAACTGCTCAAAGAGCTCTATTCCAAAGAAGCACGTTTGGAAATAGAGAAAGAGACATGGAATTTAAAATGATTGAAAGGAGTCCGAGCAAAAATCGTGGGAGGAGCAAGGGGAGAAGTCCGAGTAAAGGGGATAGGAGATATTTGGAATAGTCTTTTACTTGGTTGGGTAATTAGGGGTAGCGAGATCGGATTTGGCTTGGGATAGTTATTTTCTTGATATTTTTGTGGTGGGTACCTAGGCAGGCTGAATGGAAAGCATAGGAAAAGAAAGGATAGGATAGGAAAGAGATCAGAATACATGGATGTATGGATGGACGTATGGATGGATAGGTGGATGGGTGGGAATGCATGAAGCAGGATCTTTATACCATCCTACCTAGATACCCACAAGATACCACAATACCAGCCAGCACAGGAATTAAGGGCTTAAGGAGTCCATGAATGAAATGAATTGAATTGAATTGATAGCGTATCGTATTATATTGTTTCACATTCTAACGTATATAATAAATGTGTGCGTATATGTATGTATACTATACCCAACACCCAGCAAGAAGTCATAAAGAAAATATCCAGTCTATCTACTCCCTGCCCTCTTGAGCTCGAATCGAATTACATATTTCAACGTTACGTATTGTAAAGCATACAATCACCGACAAGCCCTCACATCCAAGTAATCACATCCATCCATTCAAATCTAAATATATATAACCATCTATAAATCGCCCCATATATTTTTCTACCTACTCCTACTCCTACTGCCTACTACCTACCAACCAACCTACCCTCCCACCACCCAATAAGCTAAAATTTGCTCCCCTCTCCACTTTCCACTCTCAAATCGTCATCATCACTTATCAAGAGAGTAGGTAGTATCAAGACACGATAAATTTCTCCATCACATCTTGAAAATTTCCCTTTCTTTTCCATCTCTCCCAATGATCCATCCCTTCCTCTATTCCCAATCCGTACCATGCATACATATCATCCCATCGTCATTTTCCATCTCCGTCATCTCATCTCATATCTCATCTCACTACTCATTCAAACCACTATGTGAAGAAAAAAGTCGTGCTTCGTGATACCATACTACATGCATGACAAATGGTACCGCCCCATCCATCCCATCCACCCTAGACTTTAATTGCGCGAATCCAATCCCATAAGATGACCACCAACAGATGACCCATCACCCAACCCGCCCCAATCATCTGCGCCTGACTTTCATGAGAAAGGAATCCCTACACTCTATCATTCTGGAACCTCGCGAGTTCTTATCTCTTCCTGACTTCATATGCCCATCCCTCGATTCCTTCACCCTTGCTCCCTACTTCCAACCCTTCAATCTTCACCCCTTTCATACCGGCTGTATCTTCCAACCACGGAGCACCTGCCATCCCTCCAGCATTTGCCCTCTTCTCTGGTGTCAACTCCAACATCGGAGTCAAAAATTCCGCAATCCTCTTCGCTTCGTCTTCTTTGAAATGGTACTTTTCTTTCAAGACATCCGGTAAGGCCCAATGTCGTAATCGGTGAATATTTCGTAGTTCGCCCTTTCGATTAAATATTTCTTGTGACCATTTGCCAGATAAACAAAGAGATTTGGGGAAGGGCCCGAGAAGTTCGATTATTTGAGCAATGTGATCGTCATCTTTGCCATATTTGGTACCGGATTGAGGATCGAAAAGATAATCACCAGTAATAAGTTCGAAGACCTGATGGTTGCAAAATTAGCTATAGTGTTGGGAAAAGGGAAGTGCATCATCAATATACCATAGCAGCCATACTCCAAACATCTGTAGAAGCACCCCATTTGGAGCCCAATATAACTTCTGGTGATCGATATTGCCTTGTTTGAATATCATTTGTAAAGTGATGTCCCGTCCAGCAAGCATTTCCCAAATCGGCAATTTTGACTGATATTATATCGAACTGGGTTGCATCCTCTGCCTTCTTCTTTTCGCCCGAATTTTTGTCGAGTGATATGCCAGAGACCTTATCTGTAAGAATATCGCTAGAATCAAGTTAGGAGCGGTATGTGATGGCATGAAGGTAGTTACTTACGCAGTCTTTTCTCTTGTCCCGTGGTTCTCCTCATCTGCCTTTTCTTTTTGAGGTGAAGAATTGTTAGAACGACCTATTGCACCAACCATTAGAATACTGTCCATTGCCAGGGGTTTCCGATGGAGTATATTTACTATTATTTAGCATTTCATTTATACTTCCATGGGAACCTGGATTACTGCCAGGAAACCTCATCAAATCTGCTTGGTTGAAGCTGGCATTCAATGGACTTGGTAAAGGCTGACTTCCAGTGATAAGAGTTCGCCGTCTCCTTCGACCATTTCTGTTATCTTCCTTGTCCTTGCTCGTATCCTCCTTGACAAATGTTTTCACAATCTGTTCCACATCTCCAATTTCTATCAGGACGTTCTCGGGCTTCAAATCTGTATGTATAATGCCGCACTCCCTATGTAGATAATCTAGACCCAATAGAACCTGTTTTGTGATTTGCTTAACGAGAGGCATGGGAATTCCGCGGTGATTCCATCTTTTGATCAAACCCAAGAGATTTTCCCCCAGAACCTCGAAGACCATACAAACATGTGTGCCGTTTGGACCTTTGTGTTCAAAAGAATCCAATAAACTAACGACATGCTTTCGACCTGGGTGATCTGGCTTAGCACCAACAATCTTATTGAGTAATTTGATTTCGTCTATGGCCGTTTCCGTGTAATGCGCTGCAGATCGTACAACTTTCAACGCAACATGTTTCTGAGTGACGTTGTCTTTGGAAAGCCATACTGTTGAGAAATGACCCCATCCTAACTTGCGAACCACGGTGTATTTGCCATCTTGAAGTTTTTCACCGACTTGTACTGGGTGATAACCTCCTTTACAGTAATCTTCAGAGTCTTCTTCGTCTGCAGTGGTTTCTGCAGCGTCTTCTCTCGAGGAAGATGATGATGGATCGCGATTTGTTCCCGAAGCGGATCTATTTCCATCATCGATTCTCGTTAGCAAGTTTTGAAGCATTGAACTCATCATCTTGAATAAGTACAAGGAAAGTGCAGCATTTTTGCGCGACCTTGTTGGAGGGGAGGGTGGTTTATATTTTGAGGCGCTGCACCTTAAACACAGAAGGAGGGTTGGAAGGTCAGAAAGTGGGACATTTTTGGTGACTTACCCTGCACGGGCTTGAGCAGAAGCCATTTTGGAAGATTCAGAGTCTTGCTCGGTTGTGATGATTGGCTTTAATGAGTCTTTCTTTCTTTTTTTCATAGCATGCGCATTTGAATTTTTAGTTATCGATTCTTTCGCTTTGGCAATTGCAGAAGCCTTTATCCGATCTCCGTTCATTATTCGGTTGCGGGCTGGTGGTGGGTGGTGGTGGTGGTGGTGGTTAGATGGTGGGTTAGTGTGAATTTGGTGTGGAATTTGGCGTGGTATTGGTGTGTTGATGGGCGTGTATGGGTGAATTGTTTTGCAGTGGATTGATTGATTGATTGACTGATTGACTGATTTTGTTGATGGAGAAAGGGAAAGGATTCGGAGTGAGACTGGGTGTGGATGATAGATAGTCAAAGGGTATTGGTATTGGGATTTTAGTTAGATTGGTGGAGTTGTCTATGAGTGGATTGGAAGTGGAGGTAGGTGGTAGGTGGTAGGTGGTAGGTGGTAGGTGGTAGGTCAGAGGTCAGAGGTCAGAGGTCAGAGGTCAGAGGTAGGAGGTAGGAGGTAGGAAAAGTAGGTAGGAGGTGAAGAAGTTGATGGAATAGATGTAAGAGGTGTAGTAGTGGTAGTGGTGGTAGTAGTAGTAGTATTGATAGATATTGTAGACAACTAGTGATAGATAGATGGATAAGTAGGTAGATGTAAACTTTTTCCCATGTATGTAGCTAGCAGGCCGGTACTGGGTAATGTATTCCCAAAAGGTCTTGAATCCTTTTATTTACGGTGGTGGAGGAGATAGATGGTGGTGATGATAGCAGTAACAGTAGTAGTATGAAGTAAACAGTAGTCAATTTAAATTGATACTCGAGTAATAAGAGGAGGACAACCAGTAAGTGCCCAGGTGGATAGTCAAATTTTAACTTGCTTGCTTACTTACTTTACTTGCTTGCTTGCTTGCTCGACTTCCCGCCGAATTATGACGAATTGATAGGAGGGGGGCGCTTCGACCCAAAATAAATAAATAAAGTTAAGTCGTTTCCTGTCCTGTCCTGTCCTGTCTATCCATCCATGTACTTGTCCTGTATGTAGGTCCCTAAGGGAGGTATGTTCTTTTCCTAGGCGATTTGGATGCCCAGCGAGCCCAGATGGTTTGATGAATTGATATTCTCCAATGTTTGCCTCTTTAGCAAAATTGGAAAGATGGTTATAACTTATTATAGGTGGTCTGGTGGGTGACTGGGGAATCTAAACCTCAGATTAGATCTTTCCAGGCGATAATGTAGGTACTGTATAATATCATCTATACCTCCTATTGCATTGATGTGATTGATTATAGAGAGTAGGTCGGTAGCAATCTGCAACGGTCAAACAATAATGTAGCACAATCTAGGTATTTTCTTTGGGGTTCAAATATATATCGTAATGTTCGCGATAGTAAGAGGGGGAAGGCATAAGTTTAAAATATAGCCAAGTGAGATGATAATAAATGTCCGTTGACAAGAACAAAAACAAGAAACAAGAATTATTAGTCAATCATAAATATCCCAATTCCATCGATTCAAAATCCTTATACCGCCGGGTAAATATTGATATTTCGGTGAATCAATTTATGGAGAAAGATATCAAGTGTATGGATCAAGCTGAGGAGGATTATTGAGAAGAAGGCAGAAGGAAAGGAGAGAAGGATATAATACGGTGTAGTGGATTTTGACCGTGTAGTGAGTGTAGGCATGTATGGACCTAGTATGGATGGATTATATCATGATGAATAGAATTTAACAAATTAACAAATTCTATATAAGTTAATATTATACTCAAAAGATCTAATTGTAATACCTAAGAACACAAACTTATTATACCGAGTACCTACTGATACTCGAGTACTTCAGATCATGGGTAACGGTGCTAAATTAACCAAAACCTGTAAAGTGTCTAGAGTGTAACTAAAGAATCTAGATTGAACACGAAGGGAGACGTGGATAAATTCTGATATCATCGAATTACCTAGTACCACTGGTGTACCTAGAATCATTCCCTCCAACACCAAAGAAAGTATGGGGAGCGGCAATTCAACAACCTAATCTTTTCAGACTAAAGGGGGCTCGGGAACACCATTTTGGAGGGGAGAAGGAGAGGAGGGGTACATAATACCGTAACTAAAATTTCAATTTAGATGTCGATCTACCTACTAATCTAGATGATAACTTTCCTCGTGCCTGGATATCAATATCAACATGAATACACCTTCATCTCCTTTCCAATAGAGATACCAGTATCTCATTCTCTTTCTATTTCAAATTTCAACATAAAAACGAACATTCAAGTACAAAATACTTCAATTGAAATGTTACACCGCACTTCCATTAGTACTAGCGAGAATGTACCCCTCACACCTACTCCGTACACTCAACATCCACTCATCGCTCGTCCAATATCCAATATTATGGAATCCAAGTCGATCAAAATAATTTATCCCATCATACCATCTCTTCTCAACTTCCTCACTTGAATACTCACATCTATTAACATCCACTCTAGCCATAAACCCCATCGAAACATCCATCCTTACAAAGAAAACCCGCCATCGATGCTGTCACTGCATAGCATCCTTGTTCCATTTCTCCATCTATTCACAAGCCACACCAGTACCTTCACCCATTCCCGGAATCCTTCTCAATCCTTCCAATCCATCAATCATTTGACATATTGATCCCTCGAACAAACCGCTACACAATAACATAACAGAAAGATATCTTTCCATCACACCCTTCGGATCCCATTACTCCTAAAATCAAAGCCTTGCCCCTCAGTCTCACATCCGAAGAGGGGCAATCCAAGACATACCCAGCCCAGCCCTGTGCTGAAAAAATATCAAAAAAGCAAAGAAAACACATGACCACAAAAACAACCACCTCTTCCATGTCCTGTCCAGTCCAGAATGCGAAAACGTGCTGAAAAGCGTGGACTACAGCTTTTGCCGCATCGCATCGCATCGCATCATATCATATCATTTGGTAAGATGTTAGGTACGAAAGTACACCACTGACTTGCTGCTATCTACCGAGTAGGCGTGACCTGAAAATTTCACAATACCTATGTCATCTCTTCTTCATGGGAATATCCGTGTTTTTTGGCCTGTTCGGTATTGAATTCTAAATGTGTTGAGGTGGTTGAAAACTATGAGTGTGTTGCCATTCGAAATCAGAATCGCCAAATCAGTTCAAAGACACACGGATAAGGTACACCTTACATGTGAAAAGTCGCTCACGACCGAAAGATGATCTGAATAAGTAGAACTTCTCCAATAACTCAAGTCAGTTAAATGTGAGAAGTCTACAACACTTTATATACACCCAGATCCTTCAAGCAACAAATATCACAACCCAATCACAACCCAAATAGCTTATATCCACGGTTATTGTTCGGCCGGATATAACATACTGATATGTTGAAGTCTTCAAGCACTATCTGATCCAAGCTCACTTCATCTCAGTGTCATTGTCCCTGCACTCCCTCTTATAGGCACAAGCTAGATCGGTTCCGTGTATTAAAACGGGACCGACTTTATGCCGACGGCGCCAATTTGTTATCATCCCAATGCGGATTTAACAAATGTGCAGCAGGCAACAGAGATGTCTATTCGAGGATTGGGATATAGGGAGAGTATAAATACTTTCATGTTCAGCTTCTTCTACTTGTCAACTTTATAATCATTTCAATTCAACTTTGGATTATCGCTGTCGTTATCGTCATCGTCGCTCTTTGCAGCACTTAAATTGGCAATACAATAAACCACATCACAAGCATCCCCTTCATCAAAAATACCCACTCAAAATGTCACAACCCAAAGTCCTAATAGCAGGAGCCGGCCTCGGCGGTCTCTGTCTAGCTCAAGGTCTCAAAAAAGCCGGCATAGATTTCCACGTCTACGAGCGAGACCAAGCATCAGACTACCGATTGCAAGGCTATCGAATCCGGATTCACTCCGAAGGAACCGACGCTCTCCAACAATGTCTCCCCGATGACATCTACCAACTATTCGAAGACACCTGCGCCGAAATGCGTCTAGGACCCGGCTCCCAAGCCGATCCTCTAACCGGCGAAATCCTCCCTCCTCAACCCCCACAGTTTGGCAAAGGACCTCCTCCCATGTTTCGCAATGCTCGCACGGTTGATCGTCGCGTTTTCCGCGATGTTCTCCTAACGGGATTGGAAAATCACGTTTCCTTCGGAAAAGAATTCTCCCATTATACCACAAACAACAGCGACTCCATAACCATCACTTTTTCCGACACCACCTCCGCAACCGGTACTCTCCTCATCGGCGCCGATGGCGTTCACTCCCGCGTCAGGAAACAATTTCTTCCATCCCACATTCCCCTCGACACAGGCGGTCGTATCATCTATGGCAAAACACCTCTCTCCACCAGCCTCACAGACACATTCCCACCCGAACTGCTCAAAAGCATGTCTATCATCCGCGATCCGCACGGCCCCATCCCCACTATCACCCTCCTCGAACCCATCACTTTCAAACTCCCCATTTCATCCTCTCCTCCCCTTCCCATCGCCGTCCCCCAACCCTACATATACTGGGTAACCTCAACCCAAGAATCCGATCTGGCTCGCCTTCCCACCTCCACACACCCCCACTCTCTATCCCAAACCCTAACTTCCCACTTCCACCCTACCCTCCACCCCCTCTTCACCCACCAAATCCCCTCCCAAACCTCCCTCCTCCCCATCTCCACTCACCCCTCGCCCCTCCCCTCCTGGCCCAGCAACCCCACTCTCACCCTCCTCGGCGATGCCGCCCACGCTATGCCTCCGACCGGCGCCTCAGGTTGCGTTACCGCGCTGCGGGACGCCGGAAATCTCGTGCGATTGCTAGTGGAAAGGGGTGTGAAAGATGGAATCAAAATCTATGAAGAGGAGATGAGGGAATATGGAAGTGTGACGATTGAGAGGAGCTTGGAGGCTGCGGTGAAGATGTTTGGGTTCAAGTCGAGAGAGGAGTGGAGGAACGTGGAGTAGCTGGATTGGTTGATTGAGTATTTAGTATTTATAAGTGTGAGGGAGGTGTATTTGTGTATTTTGTATGATATGTATATCATGTATAACATGTATAGCATGTATAGCATGTATTTATGTATGCGTATAGTAGTTCTAGAAATACTATGAATACGAGGTACTACACTTATACAATGATATACAACATTGATTCGTTTCTTTCTTCCTTCCTGTCCTTATAATCATCTGAGAAACTCCTATTCTGGATATTCATCTCATCTCTCTTCATCTACTCCCATCACATCTCTCTTCATTTACTCTCATCACATCTCATCTCCCCAAACAAAAATATTCTCCCTTCTCTATTCTCTATTCTCCATTCTCCATTCTCCATTCTCCATTCCCCATTCTCCATTCCCCATTCTCACCACCCCACAACTAACCCACCCCTCAATTCCAACCCTACTTCCCTAACCCCCCTCTAATATACAAATCTTCATATAAAAATACCACCTCCTAGTCATAACGAAAACATAACTTCCTTCTACCAATCAATCAAACGTATCCCACCAAATCACCTCCAAGTCCCAATCGCCGCGATCCAATCTTCCTGATCCTTTCTATAATTCAATTCATTAGTAAACTATCCCTTAACTCCAAATAAACAATCCAAGAAACCAAGAGGAAAAGAAAGAAAGAAAGAAAGAAAGAAAAAAAAGGGGTCAAACATACTTGTCCAAATGAAATAACGATGCCAGAATCGTCTCGATCAAACTCGCCTGAATCTTTTTATTCTTCTCCAATAAAAACTTCAACAAAACCGACTTTGTGTATTTAATGTCTGTCTCTGTGGCACCAGCATCTTTCCTGCCGTTAGCCGGACTCTTTGATCTTCCTGAATCAATACTAGTTCTCGAAGAACCGTCGTTTAATCTGGATGTCTTCATCTGCAATAATTTGACTTCTTTTTGAAGTTTCTCATATCGTTGATTTGCGTCCTCGAGAAGTTTTCCAGTATCCGCCTTCTGTTTCTCGGCGGCACGAAGTTGTTTTTCGGTACTGTTTAAAGTATTTTGGAGTTCGCTCATTGCTAAGCGTGTCTCCTCAGCTTCCTGGGCTGACTTCTCGGCCAAACTTTCAAATTCATCACGGCGCCTCTTGAGCTCCTTTTGTGATTGCTCAAATTCATCTCGGTCATCAGTTGCTCGCTTGATATCTCGCTCGTAATCTCTGATCTTGGTCTTGAGCTCATCTACCTCTCGAGATCTGCGACGAGCATTGGTACTGGCTTCGTCTTCTGCTCGATCACGTTCTTCTCTCATTTCCCGAACCCTAGCTTCAGCTTTTCCTTTCTCCTCTTTCTCGACAGCCATGAGTCTACGAATAGTCTCACACTCTCGAACTCGGTCGTTGAGATTTCTTTGGGCGTCGCCAAGCTCTTCTTCGAGACTCTCTGCCTCTTCCCTCTTCTGCTTCAATTGTGCAATAAGCTCCGCTTCTTGACTTTTCAAGCTATCAAGCATCCCTTGCACATTCTTGTATTCGGAACCTCTTATTTCGACCACCTCACGAAGCTCTTTGTTTTCAGTAGATAGTTTTGAAACCTGTCCTTCGAGTTCTTGAACACGAGTACGTAACTTTCCGGTTTCTTCTTGGACCTTTGATAGTTCTCCCCTAGATTTTTCGCCTGAAGCTGCCAATTGAACCTTTGCGGCCTCAGACATTCGTAGATCACGACGTGCGGTGGAAACTTCATTCTCAGCTCGAAGTCGGCCATTCGTCTCTTGAACAACCTTCTCATTCAGAGATCGGATCTCATCGTCTTTCTCAGATGTTTGCTTCTTGAAGCTAGTAAGCTCGCCCTTCAAATCCTTCTCACGTGCTTCTAATCTTCTCAATTCAGAAGTACGGGCGTTCAACTCGTCCTTGGTACTCTTCAATGTTGCATTCTCAACGCGCAGAGTCTTCAATTCGGGTTGAGCACTCTCTAGGATTTGTTTCAAATCAGTAATCTCCTTATAACGTGATGTGGCCAATTGCTCAGAGGCACCAAGATCCTTTTTCATCGTACTGAACTTCGACTCTAATTCTTCACACTCGGATGTTTTGCTCTTGAGGTCTTCCTCCAACTTGACTAAAGTCTGTTTGTGGCTTTCGACTTCGGATCCTAAGCTGCCGATTTTTTCTTCAAAAGCAACCTTTTCTTCTTGTAATTTGGCTGAAGCGTCTTTGTGAGTTTCAATTTCGGACTTCAGGTTGGCTGAAGCTGTCTTGTGAGTTTCGATTTCAGATTCTAATCTTCCAACCTTTTCTTCAAGAGCAGCCTTTTCTTCTTGCAACTTGGTCAATTTTTCTTCAGCCTCAACGTTGGAATCAACCTGGGCCTGCAGCTTAGACTCTACTATGGCAAGCTGCTCCTTTAGAGCAGTTTTCTCTTTTTCAGTTTCGTCTGAAGCGATCTTCCCATTATCTTGACTCCGTATCTCAGCCTCTAGTTTGTTGGCTTTCTCCTCAAGGTCAGATTTCTCTGTCTGAAGTTCCTTAATTTTGTCCTTGGCGACTACACATTCTTGACCAATGAGAAGTAAATTATCTTGAAGATCTTCAATCTCCTCTCGGAGATCATCCTCTGTCTTACGTTTAACTTGTAATCTCTCTATTTGCTTATCGTTGTTAGCAAGCTGAGTTTTGAGTTGGTTGATTTCAGATTGCAAAAGCGCAGCAGTCCCAGGGACAGAAGTAGATTCTTGATTAGCAGAGGTAGTGGCAGGTTTCTTGGCCTTCTTCTTGGCCTTCTTCTTACTGGATGCAGAAGGTGCTGGTGTCGAGGCCATGGCTGACTCAGATGCAGGAGGGTCTTCATTTGCTGGAGATGCCTCCTCGTTTGCTTTCATAACTTCGATCTCATTTTCAAGCTCTTCAACGCGCTTAGTTTTGAGATCCCTTGATTTGGTAAGCTCTTCAATTTGTGCATCGAGGTCCTTCTTCTGTTGTTCAGCTTCTTTTCGGATATCAGATTGAGACTTCAACTCTTTCTTCTTGAATTCATTAAGTTGGTTGACTTGATTGTTGAGGACCTTAATTTGATTTTCAGCTTCTTTACGGGCATCCGACTCGGACTTGAGCTTTTTCTCTGCTTTGGAAATTTGGTCTTTGAGTTGCGATTGCAGAACTGAATAACTATCTGAGCTCAGCTTCTTTTGCTTTTCCAAAGTCTCCTCAAGTTTGGCTTTCTCGGTTTCCGCAGATTTCAATTTACTCAATCTTTCTGAATGCTCTTCCTTTTGAGTTTCCAAGGTCTTCTTGGCTTCGGCAAGCTGTTTTTCAGTGATTTGCAATTTGTCTATACTCTCCAAATGCTTTTTCTGTTCGATCTCTGAGGACTTCTTGGCTTCGGCAAGCTGTTTCTCGGTTGCTTGTACCTTGTCACTAAGTTTTTTATTCTCTCCCTCCTTGACATCTAGTTGTTCTTGGCGAGACTGGGCAAGATCGGTAGCCTTCTTAGCCTCCTTGATAGAATCATTCAACTCAAGTTTTACTTTTTCCAGATCCTCCGTTAACCCAGAAGCCAATTCTTTAGCAGCGGAAAGATCCTTTTCTGATGAAGATAATTTTGATTTCAAGTCGTCGATTTCTGCTGACTTAGCTTTGATCTCCGATTGCAATTTTGGCAGTTCATCGTCGTGCGAGAAAATTTCCTCTTTGGCATTCTTTTCTGGGGTTTCTGTGGAATCCGTAGTGGAACTTTCGTCAATAGTAGACGCGTTTCGAAGCGATGTGAGCTCGTCCCAAAGACTAATATTCTTCTTTCCAGACTCCAGGTACTTCCTTTTTTGATCATCGCGATCTGCAGTTACGCGTGCAAGTTCTTCCTTCACCAACCTGCCTTCTTCTTTCTGTGCATTGAGATATCCAGCCAACAAATCAGGTTCTTGAATGGAGCCGATAGGTGTATACTCCTTGAGGACTTTTTCGAAAGGTTCAATAAACTTATTACGAGCATGTGCAGTTCGATAAGAATCGAGGAGAACTATTATATGGCATTAATAATCGTAGACTGAAACCATATGAATGAAACACACTCTTATATTGGCCCTCAATCTTTTCCAGCTTTCGCAACTTCTTTTCAACTTCTATTGATGAGAGCTCAGCAGAAGCTCTTGGAGTGGCATTTGTTATCTTTTCACTGCCATTGGTCGCAGGAGAACTGCCGTCCAACGGCTTACTCGCATCTCCCGCCATTGTCCCAATTCGAGTTGAAGGTTCAGAATCGTCTTCAATGACAAAAGTAGATTCAAACTCTGCCGGATCTAGATCTCTGCCACCTATCTCATTGTCATCCTTTGGCCGCGGCTTTCGTGGCTTTCTTGAAGGAGATTCGTTGGCGGGTCGTCTCGAGGTTGAGGATGTAGAAGCAGATCTTTGAAGATTGGGATTGTTTGCGTTCAATCGTGCCTTTTCTTCTTCGATACGAGTATCTATTTGAGCTTTAAGTCTCTTTTGAATTCGTCAGCTAATTTATCTGCAAGGTTGCGATCCATATTTAAAGAGTGAACTTACCTGGAACATTCTTTCCACATGTGGTGGATTGAGGGAGTGGGAGTCTTTACTTTTTTTAGACTATTAATAAATTATTGTAAGGTTGTGTGAGAACTTTGGACACCAGTGAATTCGTGAAATATTAATGATCATAATCAGCAGTTTAGAAGGGAATGGGATTGTAAGAGAATTGAGTGAGAAAATGAAGATATAATAATGATAATAATAATAATACCTACTTGTCAACTTCTCAAACTACCTAGGTACATGAGAGACAGATGATAGTCGTAAAGGACAAAGCGAGAATCCTCATAGCCTTATAGCCTCATAGCCTCATAGCCTCATAGCACGTAGGTACAGTACTCAAGACTAAGACTGAGCCTCTTCTTACCCCGTATCTATACCCCTACCTGGTACGAAGTAGGTAAACCTAGATTTGGTGCCCAGGTATATATGGGCCAGAAACGTACCCCAATACGAAGACTTAGTCCGTAGTCCATCAACCCAAAGAGGTAATGATAATGCTTGTAATACTCTTTAGAGTCCTTGATAACTTGAGTAAGTTTGGTGTAATTTGGTGCCATGTCGAATGCTTCTAAAATGCTTCTAATGCCCGCAATAATTATCCACGAGTGCATGTTTATAAGGGGTGTCACGGCCCGAGGCTCGGCGGGCTCCATAACCACTCATAGTACGAAGTAGTAGTACTTCGTAGATGATCGTGTGAACCAAATTCATAATTCATCAAAACATTACCCCTTCAGATCCAGAGTAGTGTATGAAGTACAGAGTGCTATATAAATTCTATATATATATACATTACATACATACCTGCTGGGTAAGGTTATGTATAATAACTGGGCTAACTGGGCTAATTGGGCTAATTAGGTTTACCTCCATCCAATCACCGAAATTACTTTCTACTGGGAGTCAGCAGCTTGCTAGCTAGCTTATTAGTTACCAGAAGTGACGAAGCAAGTACCTTGGAAATTTATCCTCTCCCACCAAGCACACTCTTGTTCCTTTCATCTACGATTTACCTTCCTATTCCCTCCTATTGATATGAACTTCAATATGAGGTGACATACAACTCCTCTTAGTGTCATCAGATTCCGAAATCATACTTTAAAATGGTTTCACTTTGGCCCTGGAAGGTATGTGAAGCTTCCATTTAAAGTGATACGTTTAAGCCATTCACTAACCTGAATGTCATTCAAAGCGCGAGGATAATTCTCCTGCCTCCTTTGAAAAAACATTATCTGCTTTGGCAGAGAAGATTTCGAAATCACAATCACAGCTAGATTCTCGAAGACTCCGTGGCAGACGTGTGAAAGCATTATGGACATTATATTCAAGTTTTGCATATTTGGTGGTGTTCGTCATAGCACTTTTAGTGATCGGCTGGAAGGATTTGACAGTCTTGGAGTATACTGGGCTTGCGGGAAGCCCTTTGATGTTAGTATTGCCAAAGAAACATATCATCCTGCTTGTATATTGATATGGTCATTAGAATCTATCTCATTCGAAGTGGCATTACGAGATATTATGAATACAGGGTTGAATCTATCGCGCGTCGTCTGGAGGAACAACAAGCTGAGAGAACGAAAACCATCGACAAATTAAAGGCTGCCACGAAATATAACACCACACAAGAACTTCTAGAGAAATACGGTGGCGCTCCACCAAAACCTCCTGCACCGAAGAGAACTGCATCTGTGAAAAAGACTCCCAAGAATAAAGATGCGCAACCCCCACGAACAAGTATGGGCCCACCTGCGACAGCAAATATACCCCGCCCTAACCAAATTCCGAGTCAACCTTCTACCCCTCAGCCACTTGGTAGCAGGACCCCTCCTTCAATCATCGCTCCATCACCATCGCCTGTTGCTCCTCGGAGTGAGCCAGGCCCTGCCGAATTTGCACCAAATGCATTTTCGGGTCCAAACCAGTATGCACAAGGTCAATATGCACAGAGTGGAGAGTTCGTCGCTGAAGGACACTGGTACGATCGAGTATTAGATTTGTTGTTGGGCGAGGATGAGACACATCCAAAGAATCGTATGGCGTTGATATGCAAAAACTGTCGACTTGTCAATGGTCAAGCACCACCTGGTACAAAATCCTTGGCCGATTTAGGGAAATGGAGATGCTTTGGTTGTCGAACCTTGAATGGGGAAGAAGATGAAGCCGCAAAGGCCGTACAAGAAATGAAGGAAATAATCCAAGATAACAACGTAAAGAAAGAAATCCATTCTGAGCCTGAAGATAGAAGTACGGAGGACCCTGAAGACACACCTGAGAGTGAGGATATTGATCATGATGATATCAAGAATGAAGAGGATTCGGAAGACGAAAAGGTCGAGGTCAAACCAAAACGGGGACGGCCCAAATCAAACCGCAAAAAAGCCTAACTTGTGGCAATTGATCTTATTTCATTATGAGCTATCTATCGGCCATATCATATCCCTGATTCCCTTTTGTACTTTATCTATCAGATGGCAATTTGCCCGTCCCAAAAATCATTATCACGTTATTCTTAGCCGATTATTGCCATGATCATCGAGTTGTGATATCCATTATTCAGTTACTCTTGCTGAATCCTTTCCGAAACTATAAATAATCCTCTTCGCTTTTGTTCAATCTTCGCGAATTCTTCCCCTCTAGTTGGGAATCTTCCACTTCACTTGGAGAAGAGAATCCCTTGCGGTTGGCAAAGGAAGATTGATACTTCGGAGTATAAGGTGGAATTGTTGGCCCAAACTCCACATTATCTATCGCGGCATCCTCAGCCTCGGTCTCTCGTCTCTCCCTCTCCTCGTTCTCCCTAGACTTTCTCGCAATACGCTCTCGTAACTCTTGTTCCTTGGCTGTCAACGGAGCTTGGATTGCGAATGCATCACTTTCTAAACGCTGTGGTGTATAAATAGGAGCACGGTTCGCACCAGGTTGTTTCGTTACAAGCTTTTTGTTCTCCGCTCCACTGCGCCCGCCTTTCAATCCCATGTATTGTGCAACATTTCCCCATTCCATATATTTCGCGGCATTTCCCCACGGTTTCGACGATGCACTTACAGTACCATAACCAGGATCGAGAACAGTGCTAGAAACACTCTGTCGCGCAAAAGTACTTTCCGCCAATGTTGGTTCTAGGTATTCGCTGCCTTCTAGATCATTGGCTGACATTCTCATCGAACTGGATGCGCTTGAGGTAGGTAGAGTGGGCGGTTTGGAAGAAGCAACGATAGGAAAGACGGGTCTCGGTACGGGTCTCAAGACTGGTCTTGGATAATCAGAAGAATGAACAGAGACTTGCATTCGCTCCATACTCGGAGCTCGTCTCGATCTCTGACTTGATTTGTGTCTTTCAGTTCTGGAAGAAACCAATACGAAATCTTCCACCTCATCTGTCCTGGAAATTCGTCGTGGTTCTCGTAGGGGTTCTCGTGATGCACGTTGAGTGTGTGATCCACCTCGCGATTCTGGTTCTGGCGATCGTCGAAAATCAATAACGGAAACCTCCATCTTCTCCATGCTGGGCATTCGTCTGGATGTTCGACTTGCTGCTTGTCTAGGGATTTCCCCAGGAGCGTCTCGACAATCTTGCTCCGCTTCCAATTTGGATCTAGTCATTCTCTCACTTTCCTCCATAAACTTGCTGTGATAATTGCGAAACATGGCAGCTTTTGTGATTGAAGGTATGGTATCTCTATTGACTATATGCGGGTTTGATGGTAGTGGTAGTTCTCGATTAAAAGAGTTGAAGAATCGTATAATGTGCTAGATATAGGAAATTCGAGAAGGCGGAGTGGTTGTTGGAGGGCGCTTGTTGCTTGAGCTTCTCTTTTTGAGAGATATTGTACCGTATTGAGGGTTAGTACAGTATTTGTATTCTTCCTTCAATAATTTTATTCTCTCGATACAATGAATTGTTTAGAGAATTAATGGCTAGCGATCACAATCCAGTCCAATCCAATCAATACCAAAAAAGGTTGACTTGATAGTGCTATAGAATCTTTGAAAAAACACCAAAACGTCCTACTGACAGTTTAAATACTATCTGCAGTATATTTATAGAATCACGCAACTCTTTTTATTCTTGAATGCACGGTATATTAATTTAATATTTCTGGGGGTGTCTGTGACTGTAGTTGATGCAAGTGATGTGATTAATATAATCATTTTGAATAATTATCAATTTCTCATTCTTCTATTTTTGGGGGATCTCGAAGCGAGACTGGGAAAGGGGTGAATTGAATTGTTTAGATTGGATGCAAATATCAGGTAGATGGGATTTGGGAGAGTGTGACTGGGTGATTGGGTAAGTAGAGGTATTGAGGGGATTGGATCTGGCGGATATTTATGAGTGCTAAAGAGATCTGGGGGAGAGGTTTGGGAATGGTTTTGGTTTAGGTTAGTTTAGTTTAGATACCTAGGAATTGATGCTGAGATTTTGATATTTAGGAATATTCACATAACTTGGATCGAGTGAATAGAGGGTGAGGGAGGGGATATAAGGTGGAAAGTGAATTGAGTATCTCGAGTGGCATGGAAATGTGATTGATTCATGGGAGGATGATGTGCTATGCTATGCTGTAATTTTACTCATGGTTTGGTGATTGTGAAGATGAATGTTAAGGTGAGGGAGAGGTAGATGGGGACCCGTGGATGGGCTGGTACTGGAGGTCTTTGATTGAATGGCTGGGACGCTTGAGTGAGTGGGATGGTGAGGATGTGTGAGAGTGTGAATAAGAGGATCGATGTGTAGTTTATGGTTGTTGTTTGAGGGGTTGTAGTCCTACGATGGGCTGATGGAATGATGGAACGGTGAAATTCTAAGAAAAGTGAAGGACTCGTGGTGATTACTAGATGCATAGAGTCATTTCACTTTCATACAGAGATGTCATTAGAATGAATCTTTTGTCTTTCTAGTATTAGTGATGAACTAAGTAGACTATGAATTCTAGTTTCGGTTTTCGTTGCACATTTTATCTATGCTACTCATATACTCAAGCTCTCAAGAAAATTTGATGAGCAATTTCCCATGCAAGAATTACTTAAATAACAAAACTGCATTGCCTCTTTAATACTGCAAGTACTTATCTTTCTCTTTGACACTGGTGCAGGTAAACTGATGATCTTTACACAATAGCTTTTTAAAGATGTCTAGATTCTTCTCATTGTGCCTCGGAATACTTGCATCCCTCAAATGTACCACACATCGCCATCATCACACTCCACGAGAAGCTCTTCCTCATCCATCAAAATCGCTTATTCCAATCTCACTCTCTTTGTTTTTCTACGATTTACGCTTCCCTGCTTGTACTTCCTTCTTTTTCTTTTCCTTCTTTTCCTTAGCATACTGATCCATCTTTTCCTGAACTATCTTCTTACCCGGCGAGTTCGGATTCATGGATTTCTCTCGATTTCTCAATCCAGATTGTATAGTCGGTTTCATTACGATAGCCTCCATAGCTGCGTCATCCCGTTTGTTTTGTTCTTCCTTTGTTTCGTTTTCCTTATTCCTGCTGCCAGTGGGATTGCCGGAGCCGGAACTTCTGTTTGAGAACATGATTGAAGGATTGGGTATGTAGTATATCGCGTGGAATCTTGTAGTTTCGTATATAGTATAGATATCTGTGGGACGTTTATCGGTCAGCAATCCAGTATGCAAGACTCTCATAAATACCTCCTACTGAAGTTATGGAGACGTACATATTTTGGGCGGCCTAAACTTCAACCCCGGCGTTTCGAATCTTGACGTGATAAGTTCGTACGAATGGCCTATTTTACTCTTGGCGGCTATATTTAAGGCTTGTTGGGGCTCGACCGTTGGAGTTTTCTTGTATCTTACGTATGATTCATGGCACCGTGTATGAAACTTTTCTCGCATGTATGTTTGTTGCCCTCACATTATTTTCGCAAAGTCTTCATTACCTCTTCGAATCATTTTGTTCTGTTGGAAAACTCACTCTGATATTGCTAACATGTCTGCGTCCTTCCATACTCTATACTAAATTATGACCACTTTTTGTCCGCATGTAGGTTGATTTCCATCGCTGAATCCAGGTATCGTGTAAATTTTGCTATGACTTGCCATTACTCACCATATCCGTGTTCCTGTTGTGTTCCTATACAGTAAACTCTCCCATCAACTGACTTTCTCGTGCTTACGTATGTATGTCTTCATTCTTAGAATTTCTAACCAAGGTAGATGGTGGTGAAGGAAAAGTCCGCGGAAGTTTGCCATTAAAAAATCAGGATTTCGGCCATCGTCTTGACCGAATACTGTAGACCTCACCAACATTGATTTTCATTTGGTAGTGGAGAAATCTTACCGATTCTTTTTCTTTGACCCGAAATAATGGACCCAGATATGTTTTAATACTCTCACTGTAATTATGAAGTCGTTTTTTAGCCCCTTAGGAGTCCAAATAAATCCAAGCCACTAAATTCTTCGTTGTTTTTGCCTGTGTCCTTGCACTTTGTACTTCCATCTTCTTTGTATGCCGAAGTCACTTGTAACATGAAATCGTAGTATCCAGCGCCACGTTTATTATCTTAGTCTGCGAGATATCTTCGTAGGCACAAGTGCCACCGCTGCCCTCATTATTCGAATGTGTCCCTACTATTTAAGCCCTTGCTACTTTTGCGCTCTTGTATTATTGTACAATTGGAGTTTTCGCTGCTTTCGGAGACTTCGGAGGGGTTTCTTGTTGGACTCCGCTGGATTGTGTGCCGTGTATTCGTGCTTCGATCGAAGTATGATGATGCAGCTCACTTCGAGCTTCTATAAGAACAATCAGCAGTGCGAAGAGTTAGACAGCTTTGAGTTCTCACCTCGATTCTTACCTGCTCGAATCTTGCGGCATTTGGTAGACTTTTCACTGTTGTCGTTTCGAGTGCGGTTTCGCAAGATTATCGAGTAAGCTCTGCAAATGGCACATTATCAGCGTAACTCTTCGATTATATTCTAGCTGTGTTTTTAAAATTGGAGATTTTGCTTTCGATTTGAATTTGAATTTGAAGTTGTGTAAAATTTCCCGGCGCATCATGGTATATTTCGAATGCGCTGAATTACGAAGTAATTTATTTGGTCGGGAAAACAACTTACTCGCCTCAATTCTTTCAATTACGCTCAAAGACTTCACATTTTTGTAAAAGGAGTATACCAAGAGATTTTTCCTCAACCTTTAACAAAATGATTAATATTACATAAACGGTACAAAATTGCTGGTATGGCTCATTAGAAAATCTTGACAGTTCATTGATGGGCTCCTATTTTCACAGCCAGATATGGTCAGATTAAACAACTTTAACCATTTCATAACTATAAATATATATATTGAGAGTTCTTCTATTTGAAGAGACAAGGTTTGAATATGTTAAGTGTTGAAGTGATGTTGGTGGTTTGACCCTCGAGTTCTCGCTACCCCGTATCACGGGATCAAAAAACAAATAACAAAGCCAGGACAAAAGCTGTTTTTGAAGATTTTGACTTGTGCGTATTAACTTTTAATCGTTATGTGACTGTTTACTTGGAAATCTTAGAAAAATACTATGATAGTCTTTCACTCTCCAGTATCAAAAGAATCTCACCAACCTTGACAAGGTTTGGGATTTTGTAAAAGATTACTTCAATCTAGAGCACGCAAAATTCCAAGGAAACGTGTCAAGCTGTATAAATTCTGCAGCATGACTTGGCCATCTGTTAATAACAATTTGAGCTCTTATCCCAACTACTCTCAAATGGTAAGCCCCGATGTCTTTCCCCAGCCTCCAATAACATTACCTTTTAGAATAGATGATCCACCCTAGCACAGAACGAAGCTGGAAGAGCATGAAAGATGGAACAAAAATATTACCCATCAACAACAGCATACACTAGGTTGACTATGTGACTAAAATCTCTAGCTACAATAGTAATTTAAGGGCAAAGAATCCAGTATGACAGGCTGAAATATTCATTACTACCAAAGCTAGAGAGTCTAACCACAGAGTTAACCCGGCATATGTCATTGAGGATGGGCGAAGGAGCTGCTTTTAGTTGCAACTATACCTTTCATTTTGCATGTGATCTCTAGATTATGGGAAGCTCTAATGAGAAATTTTCTTTTCCCTTGAAGACCCCACCGGTATGTGTGAAATACACACTTTGAAGAAACTTATGATATAATACATCATAAGTATTTTGTGAATCACTTTTCACTTCTTCTTATCCGCTGGATGTTTTCAACTTTGAAGCGGTAATCCGCACAGATGAATAGAGCCACCGATAGATCATCTCATGCTCCTTTATGATTGTCCATCCCAATCAATTACTCAAATGATATACTCAAAGCTTACTTATTTTAACATCAATATGCACGCAGCCCTCGATCTTTCAGTCTCTTTGTCAATCAAAAATAACACCGCCCAAGCTAATTCAGACATAAAATCTAAGAGACGTACATTTTTATATATAAAGAGGCTATCAAAATATGAACAAAAGAGATGTGGCGTGTGATTGACTAACTCTCCATCAGCCTGTGCTTCTCCTCCTGTCCCAAGAGAGTTTCTCCAGATCATCACTGAAAGACCAAAAATTTAAACGCAACTATACAAAGAGATCTTAATCCTACAGTTCCATCAGAATGAGCACCCATTCTGCGGGAAATAAACATCAGCCGAAGAAGCAAAGCAGAAGTAGCTCCACTCTTTCCGCCTGGAAGCCCCTCTATACACCTCCTCTGTCCAGTCCCGTCACATGCCGCGATCCAGAAGTCCCACTTCTCTCGAACTTCCTCAATACCCCATCTATTCTCACCAATCCTCATGAAAATTGGCTCCACAGTTGAGAGCTAACCAGCTACGCTCTCTCAAAGAGAAAAGGTACAAAAACACAAAAATAATACAACGACAATTAGGAATACACTTGCTCACTGAGCCAGTGTGCATGTACATCCGTTATTGTGTATCATCATCAAGCTTACTAAAAGATATATCTCTAGGGTTGATTTGCGAAATCGTTTGTTGAGGACATGATCCAGAAAAGTTTAACATCTTAGTTAAGCACTTGGGAATCGGCATGGACTTTATTATTTATCAAGTCTTCACTCCTCTCTTTTATTCATCCTCTTCTCTCTTCTATTTCATAACAACGCTAATCATGTACGATCCAAAGGCTTAGATTCCAACATCGAGCTTCAAGATATATTAACAGTTTGATTTAATGTAACCCGCTATCAACATCCCATTCCAACTTATGCCAAAGTTATCCCAGAATCTACAAGCATGAATTCGATAGAACAGTAAGCTCCTCGCTCATTCGCCGACCAATTTGGACTAATGCTAATCGATCATCTTGTAGTAGAATATCTCACCGCTCATTATCTCTCGGAGTTTCCAAGCCAAGAGTAAAGAATTTCGCAAGCCTCGAATAAAAACCAACACACATCAAACCGAATACAAACAACAAGAGCGATGACATCCTCAAGATCTCCACAATTAATACAAAGAACCATATGAGACGTACCGAGCATACCTATATCGAGGAGGCAGCTAGCCGCGAGAAATAGCATCTTCACTTTAGAGGATAGGGCTACCACCAATCCTAATAAGACATCGACACTCAACTTCCCAGTCCTGGATATCTATTTCACCAACCTCTAATAAATCCAATCATAGCCAATCCTCACACAGCCTCACCCTTCCATACCCACCAGGAGCCAAGAAGAAGAACGCCTACAAACCTCACACAGCAAAACTCCCATCTATAAAACCCCCACCGTTTCCCTAGGCAGTTACTCGCCTAGATCCCAACATCAACACCAACACCAACAAAAGAAGGCAAAGGCTTAACCCAAACCAAACCAAACCATACGCCAAGAACCCTAGCCTCCTCCTCTACGCCTCCTTCAAATCCCCACTACCTATGATCTATCCAACTTGCTTACCACACTATATCCTATACCCAACATCTCACACATAGACACACAATAAAACCTACTCAACAAGTTGAAGTGCGAGCCGTGCATATTTTACAAGCAGTCGTGTCCCCATCAAATAGCACTACCTCCATCTTGAACTTAATCCCCCTTTCAAGAGAGGAGGCCACAACATGATTTCATCAAATCATCACTTGATCATTTCGTCACTGTATGCTCATCTAGTATCCACCATGCGGCCGTCTATTCCCCCTCTCTCCATCCCCTATTCCCTATTATCTATTCACCTCTTTCCCTTCTATCAGAACTACCAAGCCTTCCACCTCCCACCTCGCACTTCCTCCCGACAGAAATCTTCAAATCTTCAAATCTTCACATCCAAAATTCGATACCAAAACGCAAACAAATCACATCCTGATCCTAGTAAACAATAAGATAAATTCGGATACTTTCAATACTAGGTACCTCAACTACCAAACTAATATGATACAACACCACACTAATCTGACCACAACTACCTATCTATACTAAACTCTAATCTTTTCTATACAAATAAAGTAATGTTATCAGCCCTCCCAGAAGCGCTTTACTCTTCTATCCCCAGAGCCTCATAGAGACACCTATCCCCCATCCCCAATCCCAAGCAACCGAGTTCCCAAGCACCCACTGAATACATGAAATACCCACCAAAAGTATATACATAATCCTAATCCTAACCCCAAGCACTCAAACCCATAAGTCATGACCTCATTATCCCCATCTATTCCCAATACACATACAAGAACCCCAACCCCAATCCCAACCTGAAGCCCAAGCCCCCACCCTAAAGAAACACCGCCCCATCACCCATCCCACCATTTCCCCCACCCCCATCCTCCCCCATACTCCCTCCCGCAATCGTCCCCACACTAGCAATTCTCTTCCGTCTACTACTCAAAAACCTATCCACCATCTGTTTACTACCCACCTGCTGTTGCACCACCCCCAACCCATTCGAACCCACCACTCCACTTCCCTCCACCCCATAAACCTCATCTACTCCCCCTCCACCACCCACCCTCTCATTTTCCCTCCCCCCAGCTCTCACCCTCGATCTTCCCGTTCCACGTAAACTTCCATTCTGCTTCGCATTCGCACTCCCAAATTGTCTCTCCACCGCGGCCCCAATGCCCGTCCCCGGACTACTCTGCGGCGTAAAATCATACACCGGTCTCCCACTCCTCTTAACCAATTTCGCCGGACTAGTTGTAAAGCTACAATTTTGACTTGCACTCGTATCGAAACTCTTGACGCTTCTAATACTCTTACAACTTTTCATTGTCGCATCCGAGACATTTCTTTTATGTAGTACATTGCGCGTACTGGGGTTTTGTTTTTCTACACCATGATTAGGTGTTGTTGGTGCGCTTCTGAGAGTTGCAGACGAGAGCCGTTTGTGCAAGACGTTGCGAGCCTTCGGATTTGGATTCTGGGGGTGACTGACGGAATTTGGGGTTGCTGGTGCCTGTTGAGAGTTCGAGGTACTTTTCAGACTTGTCTTGCTTTGTGTTGGTCTTAGTGTCGATCTAAGAGGAAGTGGAGGTGGAAGTGGTGGTGCAGGAGGAATGTCGCGTGGTTTTGTGCTGTCAATGAGAGCATTTTCAGCCAAAGATGTCGTTGAGCGTTTTTTCAGAATCGGTTTCAAAAGAACTTGGGCTTTAAGATTCTGATGAATGAGACCGAGCGGTTGTTTACCAACAGGAAGTTTCTTCTGAGCGATATCCGTATCATCATCAGCCATCTGAGCTTTTTCTCTTCTGTGCGCAATGTGAAAGGAGTTCGACATCATAGGCGTGGGTGATAGTGATCGTTCGATGTTACTGACGCTCACTCGATCATTTCCAGATGGTCTTTCCAACTTTTCCACTTCAGAAGACATCCATTTTTGCCATTCAATCGAACCGCCAGAATTTTCACCTCTTTGTCTCTGATGAGTTGGACGATAGGTTGTGCTGTTGATAATTACAGCACCACCACCACCACCGCCGCCACCGTTGGGGGTTGAGCTATCGACAGGTAATGACGGCATTCGTACATTTGCGAGTGGCACCGACGTATCACTACTCATAGCCTCCGAAAGATTACGGCCAATACTTCGAGAGTAAACACTCTCGCTATAAACGTCATCATTTACGGGTGCCATGCTAACTTCGTTGTAAACGGCAGAATTGTCGCTTGCCGCCAAAGCGCGACGATAGGGACTTGTGTTTCCCGCTCTGTCAATTGCAAATGTCGTACCTCCAAAGAATGCAGACCTTGCCTCGCGGATGACTTTTGGTTTGGGAACTATAGGATCATCCCGCTGTGCGACTTGCTGCGGAGTGAGCCCTGAAGGGTCTTGCACAGGGTCATATGCGGCATCAATATCGGATAAGTGGCGTCTGTGTGCAGACTTTGAATTACGCTGGTGAACACGTTGATGAAATGAGTTGTCTTGATGAAATGAATTGACTTGGTGGAAGGAGTTGCCTTGACTAGATCCTGGGTGTGAGGAAAACACATCGTCTTGATTTTGAGGTTGTGTATTACATAATGGTAAATCTGCAGAGTTAAATTGATGCTCGGAGCCAATTGCCTGACCAAATAATTCTTCGCCGCTCGTGGTGGGTATTAGATCAACGTTGTTCGAATGGTATAGTTCAGGATGCTGATTTTGGCTCTGATTGCTTGAGTCACAATCAGGGGGGACCTGTCGAATCCATGGCTTATTAGGCTGTGGAAGAGTATTGGTAAAGGAGCTACTTCGTCTAGGCACTTTCTCAAGTCCGAGAGTATCGGTGCTAGCTTTCTTTGACTTTGCGAGTATTGCTTCTGGGCTATTCTCGTCGAGACGCTTCATCAAAGCAGAGCAGAGTCTGGCGCTATCAACACCTCCTGGTCGAATTGGTTGGATATGGCCAGGGCGATGAAAGGCAGGATAAGCGGGATGTTGATTCTTTACATTTGGGCGATGAAATGTTGCTTTAGAGATATGTGTACCTGATTCATTGATGATAGAAAGCCTTTGATCTCTGCTAGGCGGAGGACGCAGCCCTTGACTGGTGACAGTGTTGTTAGCTGTACTATTAGTCCAGCTTGTTACTCTGGACTTTTCATCACTATGATCACTTCGTAAGCTACGAATACTACCACTTTGTGATTTAAGTCTCTGACTTGAAGCAATAGCACGTAATGATGGGACTCTAGCTGCCACATGAGCAAATGCGGCCTCCTCGCGTCTAGGAATATCATCGAACGACTCATGATCTGATGATAATTTCCCACCGTATGCTCGGACGTGAGTTTCAATGGCGTCCACCTGTTGATTGGGGATAGCGATGGGCTCTTCTTTGCTGCGGCCAAAAACTTTCCAGAGTTTGCTTTTCAATCCTTGGGATACCTTGCGAGCTTTGGCTCTTAGGCCACCCTCTCTTATAGATTCGGCCGAATTATATGTCGCTGCAGACTTTCCGCTGCTACTTCGAACCGACCTTCTAAAAGGCTTTTCCTGTCGCTGTGCCTTCGACCTAAAAAGAAAAGACGGCTGCTCCCGAAGTCTTTGTTGATTAGCTTGAACAAAGAATCTATCCCTGGCCATTTGGACGGCATCGTCGTTTCTTTCGCGAGACGATGTAGATTTGAAGTAGTCCCGCCCCCCTCGGAGGAAACTCATTGACTTTGGAGCTCGCAATGGAGCATTGCTGCTCTCTAACGTCCGCGGAGTGGATGAACAATTGGTGCGGTCAGGGCTGCCATTGCTATAGAAGACGTTGGTTGGCGCCGATAAGGGGCTAAACATGGACTTTGACTTTCTGATTCGTCGATATGAAGATGGTGTCGAGGCTACATCATTCTCTTGTGTATAGTATTCGTCGTAATCTAAGTTAGTAACGTAATTATGAGCAGAGTAGTCTCGGACGGCTGATTTGCCAAGTGAAGCTTTGCCAATTGAAGAAGATCGACTCGGTGGACGATACGCTGCTGGGACCGGAGTATTCGTGGTCATCACAATAGGTCTCAAAGTAGCAGTACTTAGTTTCTGGTTCAATGCTGGGGGGTCCGCCCTTTTCCCTGTCGATTGGCGTCTCTTTACTGCATTTGGGCCTGCAAACCGAACACTCTGCTGCCGTTTGAGCCCTGGGTTATCAAGACTGGTAGAACTATTTTGTTGACTCGACCGCCATTGATTTTCTTGACTTGTAGTGTTGCTTCGTGAAAGTCCGTTCCTGTTTCCATAACTAGTGCCATTCCTTTCTTGGGCCCTATTGAAAGCATGCATTGCTGCAGCTTGAGCATGCATACGAGACTCTTCGGGGTCGACAAAATCGTGTTTTGGATGTGTTGATAATGTTGATTTGTTTCGACTAGGTCGACTAGAACTATTTCGACGGAGCATATCCTTTATGGAATGCTTACAAGGGGAGGTAATTTTGAATGAATCGAAATTAAATGCGTGATACAGCTATTACATGCATGCATGTATTAACCAAAAGTTGATTGAACCAAAAAATTGTGAATGCCGACTTTCAACAGAAGACAAGACACGATATATGAAAAGGAGAGATTGACTTGGCTATACGAGGGAAGGTAACGAGAGTTCTTTCCGTCAACGCTGGTTGAGGAAAGAGGCATGGACACAATGGACATTAGTGAATACATAAAATTATTCTCAATAAACAAGTTTTGGAAGTCACTATTCAGAAGTCACGAAAAAAGACATTATCATGAAAGGTATGCTATTAGTGGAAATAACGAGTTGATACAGTTTAATACAAATACTGGTCTAATTAGTCTTACGACGAGACCCCCTTAATGTGTTCCTATCCGCAAACGCAATGAAAATTCCAGTAATCAAAAGATGCATATAGAAACATCCATCCGGCTCCAACCCATGACCATCGTAAGAAACTCATAAGGAAATAGTGAAGGACAATGTCCATCAAGATCTATGCCAAAATATGTGGCGAGATGTCTCTAACTCTAAGAGCTGAACTCCTCAAAAAACTCGTTGATTTCCTCATCAACCATCTTTTGGATCTTCTTGGAAAGTTTCTCGGTCTTGGAAACCATGGACTCAGTGCCCTTGACTACGTTGCCAGAGAGAACGTTGAAGTCATTCTCGATGGCCTTCTCCAAGAGCTCAACGGTTGTTGGGACTTCCTTGGATGCCTTGGCAACGTATCCGCCAGCCTTAATGATGGAGCTGTAGTTGGAAGATCCACCACCGTTCCATGCAAGAACGTTCTTAGTGTTAGATGGAACGTCAGAAAGAGCACCCTCAGTAGCGATGGCGATGATGTTCTCCTTCAACTTCTTAGGGGTGATCTCAGCAACAGCGTAAGCAGAGTCGCTAGATGGTTGGAGGGAAAGGTAGTAGGCCAAGAGACCAGCGATATGGGGAGAGGCCATGGAAGTACCGGAGATGGTGTTGACGGCATACTTGCTACCAATCCAGGTTGAGAGAATGCTCAAACCAGGAGCAAAGATATCGTTGCAAGTACCATAGTTGGAGAAGTAGGCACGGGAATCGTCGAGAGCGGAAGCACCGACAGTGATGGCGTTCTCAGCAGCAGCTGGGGAGTAGTTGCAAGAATCGGCGTTGTCGTTACCGGCAGCGACTGCGAAGTGAATACCAGCATCAACGGCACCGTTAACGGCACGGTCAAGAGCTGGAGATTTGCCACCACCGAGAGACATGTTGGCAACAGAACCCTTGAAGCCCTTCTTTCCCTTCTTAGCCTTTTCGGCGTGGGCGTTGGCAGCCCATTCAACACCCTTTACGACATCTGCCATAGTACCGGAACCGTTTGATCTGAGAACCTTGACGGCGTAGACCTCGGCCTTCTTAGCAACACCATATTTATGACCTGCAACGGTACCGGAACAATGTGTTCCGTGTCCATTTCCATCCTCATCGGCATCGCCAGTTGGGATGGTCTTGCCCCAGTGTGCACGACCTTCGAAATCAACGTGTTCAGTGTTGGTTCCAGTGTCGATAACGTAAGCATCGACTCCCTCACCAGCATCAGCGGCATACAAGTATTTGTTGTATGTGCTGAAGGTCAGGGTATCTCTGTGGGAGATACGAGCCAAACCCCAAGGAGCGCTCTTCTCAACCTCGCCCGAAGGGTCTTCTAATGTGTGTACGACGGAATCCTTCTCAACATATTCGACCTGCAAGGGTAATCGTTAGCATGATTGTTACGTAAAAAGAATGCACCAAGAATGAACGATGATGCGCCATCACGTGCGGCCTTGTCGCTGTATGTGATTGAGCCTGCAACAATGTACTTGTGTGGGCTCCGTTGGACGTATCGGGATAAAGGGAATCATCAAGATAAGGATGCTTTTTATCCAATTGGAAACGAAATCCAAGGTAGAAAGCACGCAATTGATACTGCAATGATAAGAAGGATTGTACTTACATCAGGATGTCTGCGGACTTCCTCGATGACCGACTCATCAAAGTGACCGGAGTAACCCAAGAAGTCACTGCCAATGTTATATGTGTGCTTGAGACCCTCGAAGATATCGGTGGTAATTGGGAATTGTCCTCTCTTTCGGAGCTCGGTTCGTTGAGCTTCGCCGTTTGAGTGGATGTCTTGAACCCAGCTGTGGTGCTCACTGGCAGATGCCGCGGTAACGTGCTTCTTGAACACAACAATGTAGGAGGCTGGAACCTCTACAGAGTTTGCTGATGAAAGGAGAGGAGCAACGCCCTCGTGAATGGTTTCGGTACTGAAAGTTGGTGCCGCGGATACCAATAGCGGCAAGAGCGATACGCTGAAGATTCCACGCATGATGAATAGATGTGATGTATGAGAGAAGACAAAGAGTTTATATGAAGCTTGATTTAATATCGGGAAATGACAAGAGCTTTGAATGAAGAACAGTGATAATGCTGTCTTCGAGATAAAGAGTATTTATTGATGGGAAGAGAAGAAGATGATGAAAGATGAAGGATGGATGATGATGGAGGGCTTGAGAGGTGTTGAAGTACTACATGAACTGCGAAGCTCGGGGAAGCGACCAAGATGCACTAGGCAACTACGGGGGCGATGCTCGTTTGGATCTAAGCCACTTTGGGAATTAGCGTCTGAGTTTATCAGTGACGAATGGATCACGCAGACCGAACTGACGAAGCGATAAGGGAGGGAATTTTGGGGAGGCTTGTCGGGTTAGAACTTAGAAGGAACAGTACGAAGTATGGGTGTGGTATGGCCCGTATGGAGGTGGTGTGTGGGTACGGGTAAGAATTTAGAAAGCTATCTATCGCAGCTCTAATAATCCATTAGGGTGTGAGACAATCCGATCATGTAAACAGAAGACCCAATAATGAATTGTGGATTCTGGATCCTGGTTTCTCTGTTGTCTTACCTTCCAATGTAGGTACTGTTTCTCTCTTCCCTTTCCTTCTCCCCCGTACTTTGGACCTTTTGGACCGAAAGTTTACTATACGGACTAGGTCGATAGTCGATACGGATCTGCAGTATCGTGATCTATCGGTATCGTGATCTATTTATCTATCGTGTTATCGATGGTCGGTCGCAATGATCAAACAATGCCGTGCAACTCAAAATGCTGTGTTGTTGTGTGGATGGGAAATGTAATAACGGTGGCGCTTTATTACAAAGGTGTACCGGTATGCAGTCTCTACCATAGAATGAAGATCTCGGGAGGTGAATCATGTGATAGGACCGCGGCAATGATGTGTATGTATTTTATTTATGTATTGTATACCGTGTAGGATGAAGGATGCACGAGTAAGTCATTCAGTCCTATCCCTTGAATCACTCAGATAGGGAAGTTGCGATGATCCTGGTTTCATACCAACCTTGGAACTGTTGAGTTATCCAGCTTTTGGGAGCTTCCAAGCCCCATGTCTGTTGTTATTATGATGTTAGAGTTTAAGGCGACCAACAGCTTGCGAGTGAGCTCAGGGTCTTAACTACCCGGTCGTGAGCCAGTCATCTAGCAGCATCTAACCAGGTACGTACTTTATTTATACGCTGGCTGGGTCTCCACACCATCATTCAGGTACGAGAAACGTAGCGAAACTCGGGGTCAATCAATGAAATTCTACCAATACACTTACACCTTCGTACCTAGGAACCAAAAGAAACACGCGCCCATTATTCTCGAGCTATTCTTAACAATAAGGCGGTCGAGGCGGTGTCACACCCTACTTGTCAGTTTCATTCGGTGTGGCTTTCTCCGTGATATGAAAAGGCAAGAAGATATGAAGATATGAAGATATGATGATATGATGATATGATGATATGATTGTAGCAAAAAGTCTCAAATGCTACAGGAGAGCAATCCACCACCCATTCGGTATTATTCGGTGTGGCTTTCTTAATGATGTGATTGATCTTTATTTGATAGTTGTGTAGTACTAGGTAGTGTCGCTGTAAAGGAAATCCCACACGATCACATCGAAACGGTCAACCTCACACGAGACCACTCAAATGTACCTAGTAGGTATGCATTTCTAGTCATCGCATACCGGTACCTCTTAGCTTCCTAGCCTCCTATCTATTAATTTCAATCCTTCCTGTGTCTGGTCTTCTGAATTCACCCGTGAGACAATCCTCCGCATGATTTCTGTCACTATTTCTATCGATAAATTCAATATTGAGTCAGAAGCACTGAGCATGTGTCAGCGCACATTCCGGCTTCAGGCTGATTGTAAAGCCGACACGTGATCCCTGATTTTAGATTGTTGAGAGCTCATGGATAGCTCAAAAGCTCCAAAAGGGGTTTTGTTTTGGCAATGGCTTCCGGAATGGTTGACCAGGAATTGTTCCACGACCATAGATTTCGATGCAAACAGACAGATACAGATATATTTGAAATCCCAAAAGAAAAGAGAAGAATCGTTCACAGTTGATTTTTGTAGATTTCATTCTCACTTCAATCATGACTTACATACAATATCAATATTTAGGCATTAGTTTTAAGGCTACAACTTTTAGTTGGCTGGCCTTGCCATTGACGATGATTTTCATAAGGCTGACACCATGAATTGAGTGAATAGCAACAAATTTGGACCTGTCTACAATGAACTTATGGTAATTTGACAATTGAGAATATTTTCACTACATCTCACATTTCTTCACATTTCTACAAAGTGTCAAAATTGGGTTGATACTATTAACTCACTTTCGTGTATCCCCACCTCGCGTACCTGTATCAAACAAAGCCCAACTTCGATGCAAGTCAACCTTGATTGCAACTTATTAGATTCAAATCTTTCAAAAGGACGCAGGATTGAACGAAATCTTTAGAAACCGAGATAACTACAATAACTAATGCGGGGCAAGTAGAAGGATTGATCCCCTAAGCTGGATATAGGCGGGGTGGAACATGTCGACACGAGGCCGAAGACATCGCTCG